TATTTCGTCTAACGCTCTATGCTGGGAAGTTAAGACGACTTGGTATCACTCAGTCTCTACTCTCACAGTTCGTTGATTCTTGTCTTCTGCCTATTTTTCCTTATTGTTCCTCCTGAATCCTTCCCGGGCTACTTAAGACAGACTTTGTTATACTGCGAAAGACAATGAAAGCTGTCTGTAGGGCGCCTGAAGTGTTGCTAAACTAACTCGTTATTACTGTTTTAGATCGACAGAAGGCCTGCTGCAAGAGATTTACAAATATTATCTTGTATCTCGTCAATCCATATTTGTACAAAAACACTGATTGCAGAAGTTATTATTATTTTTATGGGATCAGGTTGATAAAAAGTTGAAGGCTGTCAAACTTTATAAGATGCTTTGTTGTCAAATGAAAATATGTAATGTTAATTTAAGTTCTGAGGAGAAACGCTAACGCTAGCTCTAAGCATAAATGACGCCAGCGAAAGAGCTCAGTAAGTGGATATATTGACTTTGATCAACCAATCAGATGAGCCAATACTTGAAACCGGGAGTTTTGATGCATCACATGAATTACGTTGCAAATTACTTCAAATGGTAGTATTCGATATAATAATGTTTGGTCAGTGAGCTTGTAGAAAGCTTGTAGATGTGGAGGCGCAATGTCATTACATAGGTATGCAGCTGCTGTTGATGGATATCTGTACAGATATCCTATCTGTCATAACACAAAAATCTGTCTGAGAATATATATCGTTCCCTTTGCAGGTGCATGGGTGCTGTAGAGCAGTGAATAGATCACGAAACAGCATGATACACAGTTATCTGGATGAATTTATGTGCAGGAATAAGTTTGGACTATCACTGAGGACTTAAGTTAGTAATAAGGAGGTTTTTTGGGGGCAAATAAGAGAAAGGTATCTTGCGGAACTGCTTTTATCAACGACTTTGACCAATACTGAAGAGTATTTTTAAATTACCAGTATTTACTACGGACTCATTTTACTTGTTGATCAAGACCCTTACATCCGTTTACTTGGGTCGTTCGTTCAAGTCTCTGTTGTTTACAGATACCAGGTTAACTTCATATTCTGTATCAAGTGACATCCAACTGTATGTGATTTTTGTAGCTCAGATCTACTGCATGAATACAATTCATAAGACTTAAATATTCAAACACCAATTTCACCAACTTATAGAAACTTCAAGTACATCATCTTTGATACTTCTATGCCATATTGTATAATTTTGAAAATGACTTGTACAAAACTTGGAGGTCTCAAGTCTGATCATGAACTGAAATCAGTCAGAGGATTGCTAAAAACTGAGGTATTCGCTCTAACTGACATTGTAACGCTAGGAGATAAGAGAACTGGTAACTGATATTTTACTATGGAAAAACACATCATGTTTATACGATTCTAACTACACTGGAACTCGACTAGGTCAGCAGGCAATAAACTCTCCTGATTATCTGGAGACTGGCCCACGGTTAGACAAAGAGAAGAAAAGATGACCGATGACATAATTTCTGTCCACATTGTAAACCAGATCCATATTGGAGGAATGAACAATTCTACATTTACTTCTGCATCTGCTTTTAAATATGTTCACCTCAATTTCGACCACTTCCTATCCATCTGCATATATATTATATATATATATATATACGACTGATAAATCTTTTCAGTAGCGAACGAGAGAATTTCATTCTCTGACAAAACTTGAATATAAACAAATTCTCACGATGACACCGGAAATCAACTCTCGTTGGTTTCTACTTACGCATATTAATGCCATCGACATCAGACGGACAGCGAATTCTTGGTATGAGGTCAAAAAAATTGAGTAATGATACTGACTGAACGGAATAAGTCCATTTGCACTAAGGAAAATGTCTGCTGCGGCAGCCTAACAAACCAATAATTATCCAATAGTTCACATTTTGAATCAACGAGGAAATGACTTGCAACATCATCCCATATGCTTGACTAAGATTCGTTTTGTGTTACCGGAATGTATGATCTTGCAACACGTGTATATGCAAGGTAGTGGTTCTCTCCAGTCGAGTCCCCACGAATGATTCTCTCAACAAACATATTCTGATACTTTCTTGTTATATCACCGTTTCAAATGCATTTATCATCCATCTGTGATTCTTTTGAAGCAACATAACTGCGTCTGACATGTTGATCTCTTCAATGCTTACTTCTCTCCAGAATAAATGTATGTAATGCATGTCTTCTGGAAGCTTCTTCGTGTGCAATACAACTCAACATTCATGTATATAGAAGTGTTGGCTGGTCGTTGGTGGACACAACAACACAAACAAATTACCCAACTGAGAAAAAAAAAATATTAAATTGATTCAGGCATTGCCAGTTATTTGCATCGAAGCTACACTCACGATTTCCCGCTTCGTCAGATAAAGAAGCAAATGGCAATAATACATCTTAGTCGTCAAACCAGACATAATCATTGAGGAAAGTAGTCGTTCAAATCCAGTGGTAAGAGTAACAGTCTCTGAAAAGAATGACACCGTAATGACTTCTAAGAACAGATCACTCTGACGGTTCAGATAAGATTTCGACGGTCAATTCCACTGACCTACAAACACAACAAATTTTTTCAGGACACAAAGTCAACCTGGGTGGAATGTAGACATGGTATTCAAAATTCAATTGAGTTTCCAAAAGTTGGCACTATCTCAAAGAGGACTACGCCGGTATGGCCTAATTCGATTAATCCAGATGAAGTTAGTTTCGTTGGTGACAAACTACTGACTGAGCTACCTGAGAAATTAGTAATTTTGTGTCAGTGTTAGACATTCCAGCCGAACTGGTGTGAGTCAGTTATTACACTGATCTGTGAGTAATCCGGTGACAAATGTGTTAGAATTAGTTTGACTAGAATGTCATTTGAAATTGTAGGTTAAATAAACATACAGGGACTGAGAGGTGGTGAGGAGGATCAAAACCTGAGAAGGCACTACGACATTAGATTGGAGAGAGAGTGAAGTGATCACATTTCGACGCCTCGACAGATTCTCTAATATAGTAATAACAACTGGAGTCAAATGCTTCTCATAATTAGATTTAGCTGTGCTGTTCAAGCTGGTGGATGGAAATGCGAAACTTCAGTTGTTTCTATTCTCGACAACATCTGCAGCGCACGTCCCAGTATAGAATGAACTTGTTCACAGTCATAGCAAACACCTTTGTAAGCCTTCAATTGTAATCAAACGAGGAAATGCAATCATTGAAATAACATTATTTCAAACACCTTATTTCAAATACATGTACTCGCTATATTTCGGTGAGATTTTCAGTGTTTGTGGATGTTCGTGTGTGGCATGTTTGTACATTTAACAGATTGTATATGATGGATTGCGTGGAATAAATGCATTAGACTCATGAAGTGACGAATTATTGCTTCACAGGAGTTACCCGTACTTGTAGGAAAATGATGGAGACCGAGTCGTGAGTGATAATGAGATGCACTCTGTTGGTGTCTTGCAAGATTTCTTAATTGTTGTCCACAACATCTTGTGATGGAAGTGATGCAGAGTCATTTTCACTAGACTAAACGTGAGCAGAATGAATACTCTCATTTTTGCACATTCACATTTAATTTAGACTACGCGAAATCTGATGGAACCAATCATGACGATTGTGGGCATCTTTCTGTTCGTTCGTCACCTAACAGGAGTAACCAAATCCATAAAGTCAACGTCATTCCACCTGATGAATTTGACTACATTGATAAATATCATTTAAACGCCTTCCCTTTAATGCTTCACATTCCCGAATCTCACACTTACTTCATCAGAATGGCGTAATCTTTCCAATGCCAGGAATATCTAGTGACAACATGATTTGGATTCTCACAGACTCCATATCATTGTTCTGATATCTGCACATCATATGTTCACTTCATGCTCATTATTTGTCATTCACCTCATCAGATCTCTAATTTCAGTGCTTCTCTCTCTGGCTTTACGATACACAGATATTGCGATGTCTTACTATTTGATATAGTTTGAGTGAATCAAGAGAGCTGTGACCTTCTACTGTCTCCACGAATTGCTTGTGTGTTATCCTTACGAGTAGAGTTTTGATCACACCTTCTTGTGAATATTCTACTGCATTCTTAGTTCCTCCTTGCGGTGGAATTTCGGATCACTTATTTTCTCTATGGTAGATGTTCTGAATTGCGGATATCTCTTCTCTATATATAGTTGAAACTGCTAGAAAATAGTATACGATGAACGGTTACTTGTGTTCACATCACAACTATTCGGCTGATCTCGTTACATACTGGTTTCCGAGGCGAATTCTACACACTTCATCATATTTAGATAACATTCTGTGTTTTCTAATTCAGTTCTGTCTAAATAGTATCAGTGATGAGTAGTTATTGTACTCATCATCACCTTGCTAGTTACTGGAATCATCACCTAACATCTGGCCACTTATTCGATTTCAAACGGAAACGTGTGGAAACGTGTTTCACCTGCACTCGGTACACTTTGTACATGTTAACCGTAATCACCTCCTCCAAATAATTGGCTTCAACTGTATTCGATTTGAAGTCGGTGAAGTGCATATGTCTTCACGCTTCTGTTTGCCACTAAAACAGTAGATCTAATTGCGCCTACCACATGGTTCATTTGTGTGAATATCACAAAGCACAATTTGTGCCATTATAACTCTCTCGCTCTCTCCTCTCTGAATTATCTCATGCACATTTAACTGAAAGGAATCAGTCTCCTAACAGCCCCTGATGACCGATCTGACATTACTACATATTCGAAGACGACAGTCGACTGCAAGTAACTCATCGTTGATTTCAAAAATTAGGCACACTACACCACAGTCGGCAGTTCAATAAAGCTTGAATTCATAATGAGAAAGCGGTGTAGCAGATTAATGATTTATTTAATTTAATTAAAAAAGAAATGTTTACGAAAGCTTCTACAGTCTACTTGTATTCATCAGTAGTATGTCGACGTTGACGTTTGTCTAGATGCGCCTCTTCACTATCCTGCATGAGATTAAATTCAAATCATCGGTTTAGTTGGATGAAATGTTAGTGGTTAAACAATAAAGCAACATGTATACTGGAGAGAAGAATACTTGGTGGCGAATTGTATGCTTACTCATGGAGTCTGCGAATTCTGAATATTCTCAGTGAGTGATAATTTCAATCTTCATTGTTTGTCGGAGCATACGAGTTGCTACATTTCTATAATTCACTATCGTTCGTGTGAATTTCACTAGTTTGCATATCCTCGCTGACATTATTGAATGTGCACGTATATTCTCATACATTCATGACACCATCCACTTAGAACTCTCATGATATTATTCATTGGTGGATATACACACGGTAACTCACAACGCCACTCATGATGCTTTCACCATTCGACTAAACAGGCGTATTCGAGGCTGTAATTTCAACCACATATTCATGAATCAATATTCGAGTCGAGTGATAGGAGTCTAGTCGACGGTGGAATATATTGTCTAACTGTTTTTGTGACTATGCTAATCCTGTGTAGTACTTTCCTCACTCATCATCCTCCACACTCTCACAATTCGTGCACTTGAAACTCGATTCGCTACTCCATTAAGAGTACTTCGTAAGATAAAATGTGGAAAGACAATGCGAAATAAATCTCACCTCTGGTGATATGTGTTGTGTACAGATTCTGAAGAACTAGAAACGATGAAACATTTTGAGAATTATTTGAATGGTCTAATTAAAATAATTGTTGCATATAACTGAGTTTGTCTGCTAATTAACAGTAGAGAAGCACAGACTACTCTCTCATTCCTACCACTGCCATCACAGTGTTTCCTCATACATATTTCCGATTGTACAGTTTATTAGTGCAGAAAAAATAAACTCACAAGTGTTAATCATATACAGAGCTTTTTGTTCGAAAACTGCTTGTATTTCTAAATTCAGTTCACCCAGATCTGAAATAATTCATAAACGGATACCCAACAGAATGCATTTCACAGAGTAATTCATTGGCATTCAAACTCAAACTACGCGGCATTACATGACGCAAAACAAACTGATCGGCACAGAGATTCAAGCAGTTGACTACTCCACAAACTCATCTACTTGCATGATGTCTTCGCACGTTGTCCAAACTGCTGTCATCAAGTCACTCTGTCAGTACTCATTCAATTTCACAGTTAACAAATTGTCTTCTAGTGTGTGCTTCTACTCGCAATCACACCATCTGCACAATTCCATTTGTAGACGACTGACAACATTCTAAACACTGCACTTGTTCATCCTCCTTCAGACATCATTTTTTAACTCTTTGAAAATGCTCATCACAGAATACCGTATAAGAAGTGGACTTTCATGAAATCAAATCATGATGAAGGTATTGTGATAGATGAAAATATACCATCATCGTAAATGTATGTGAAAACGTTATTCATTTCAAAATGAATGAAAATGAACGGCAAATGAATACCTTGAGGACTCTCTGAAGGTAGATTTTCGAGACAGTTTTCCAAAGGAAACTCCTCCATCTTTTCTATTTATGGGTGAGTAAGAGTAGCAAAACATTTTGATTATTAAAGCTAATTGACATCAGATATGTGGAAACTGGAAACTCGAAAATCCGTACTCCACACAGACAAAACAATTCAGATGGATAGGTGCAATACTGTGCTACTTACTCTGATATGCTGAGGATTCTCCCTTGGCACAATTCACTGCATCAGCTAGATTCACCTCACGGTCTGCAAATAAATGAGTTTCACACACATTAATGCATGTCTATCGTTTTTAGTATAAAGCTTATTCACATTTATGCATGTTTAACGCAAACACAATCACAATTCAGACGAAAAATTATGTCTACTGATTTACATATTGTAAATGAGTATCCGAAATGAGAAATAGGTAGTTGAACATCTGTCGTCAATCAGTTCCTCATGTTCTGTGCAGGAGGAAATTCTCCCTATTTATTTGAAATTAGCAAATAAAAAGGCATGAATGAAATACTAGTTGACATGTTAACGCGAGAATATACACAAGGTCAATTTTCTTAGCCAGAATATTGATGCGAAATAATTATGATGGTAAGTAAGTGAACAGGTACAGAAACGATTCGAAATATTCAACTTACAATGGGGGAGACGTTGTGCAAGAGCTTGAAAGATAAACAGAGGTAAGCATATTGAGTAGACCAGGTCAATTTGTAAATAACAAACTTGCAAACATTTATCACTCTGCAGTGAGGCAGTCGTTGATTATTGAAATGGTCAATGAGAAAGCATATCACCAATTGTGAGTGTATTAGAATGCTGACTTCTGATTTATCAAATGAAAGCCTAATGTAGTAGATGAATTTCACGAGTAAAATTTTATTTTAATTGAAAAACAATACTAGAACGCACTGTTGAATACTACCCCTCCCCAGCTGTATGTGTATGCAGTTTCAAGGCAATCCAAATCTAAAATAGATCGTTCGTAATTCCAATACATTCGGTTTGCTTACGTTTTTCTATTACACCTCGTGAAGTTGGATTTTGACTGAAAATCCTTTCTAATAAAGAAGAGTGAAAGAAAAGGTCGAATATTTACAACTTGTGAAGACGTATAATTCGAGTGTGTCATTATCTGTTACATACTAGACAACGTGATGTTTTGATGTCGTCATACTTATCACTTTGTAAGTATAATTCAGGGCATATTTTCGTCAACGGAAAAATATTATTGGTGATATAGCTTTTAGCTTGATTTACCTTTAATGGTTTGCAGTCTCCCTTCTGCTCCTGCCAGATTCGTAATTATTTCTAATGTTTTATCTATGGGGAAACGAGAACACCTTGCATGAACTGTCATGTAATAAGTATGATCATTGAATACAAGTGAGTAATACACATTGAAATAGTTACATTGAAGACGTCAGAAAGCGTATCAGTTAAGGTAGTCAGCATACTTTGATAATCTATCTGTAGCACCGTTTCTGCGCTAGTCATTCTCCACACTGTTTTTTAAGATACCGTATCAGTTTTGGAAGCATCAGGGAAGACCATGGCAGCAAAGATGATTGTAAGACTCTCGTAATTCGTAAGCTATTGTCATGAAAAATTCTCAAGTCTAATGATTAATTCAAATATTATGCATTTTCAACGTACTTACTTTCAACATTGGTAAGGCGTTCTATTACATGGGCCGGTTTGCCTCGAACTTCAATGAAGAATTGCAAATGAGAATTATTATTCAGAGAAGTAGTTTCAGAATAGTGAAGATCATTAGAATAATTACTCTACTTGAAATACATCAAACTGTTCTTGAACGCTTAATGCATACTATTACAGTGCACAATCTCAAAATTTGTATTAAGACAATTTAAATCTTAGGAAATTTCAGATTAACACACTAAAACATTTGTCTGTACAACTATTATTCTACACAGTTTCTGAGTCAGAATGAAGGTGAAAGATGCCTTCGCTATTACACTGTCGGTCATTGTCTATCAAGCAAGATGCATTTGAGGTGAAAGCACATATCAAAAAGACTATTGCGGAATAACGGCTTAACCAGAGAGAATGACCCATGAAAGTAACCGGCGAAACGTTGAAAAGCCCCTGTGAATAAGGCAAACATTTGATAAAAAATTGACCACAAATATACCATCATTTTAAGAAATGCTTACCTCCATTTATGGCTGCAAATGCCAACAGAGTGATGACAGTTATGTGACTGTATGCAGAGTGGACCATCTTCTTATCGTAACTGACTTTCCTCATCCTTATATATACCATAACAAGCAATCATATTTAATGTCGTAATCTTATGATTGGTTGATTAAAATAATCACAATTTCATCAATCATTTGTGGAATGTTGTAAGTGTTTGATTGGGGAGTGAAACAACGTCTCATGATGTCGGTGAAATGTGATAGGTGTTATGAGATCTATCAATCTGCAGACACACTTAAATTCGAATTGTAAGGATAATCCACGTGATGGCGTCCACATGGAGAAAGCACACTCACGATACGTTGTGGACGATCAGGATTAGGGAGTCATCCAGCTTTATGAGGGTTTTAATTGGCGTTTCTAATCTGCAACATAACCTGAATATTTTATCCGTTGCAAGTCAACACTCAACACACTTTGAAATATCCTGAGCAGGAATCATTTGTGTTAATGACTACCGACAAATTCTTCACTAGTCTTTTTATTTTTATTCCATGAATGTCAGAATAAAACAGTCAGTGGAGGGAATCTGTAATCTGGACAGATATTGTATTGAGGCAGCTAGAAGTACAAACCAGACTGTCATTTAATTTCAGCTAATATTTGGTCATTAGGAATGTGAAATACAGTGAGAATAAACCGGTAAATCACCCGACTATACACTCATAATCCACAGATACATACGCCTCATGAGTAAGTTATATTCAGTGATGTGAGGGGAATGTGAATTCTACAAAAATATATAGGACCAAATAGAGTAAAGCGAATGTGAATCCTACTCAAAAAAGTAATGATGGAATATATTTATTATATTGTGGCAATAAAAGTATAGAACAAAATAATGATAATCAGCAGAGGTGTGGGGAGTGGTGTGAAGTTTACTAGCTGACAAATGGTAGGAAGGAGGTGAATATGTGTGATGACTGTATAGAATTCACTGGTGAGAACCATCGATTACTGCTGTGATTTTGAAATCATTCTCAGTTTTGGTCCTTCCTCGTATATGCTTCTCTGCAAAATTTGCAGGGCTTTCTTTTTCTTACTCGATAGTTTTCAGATTCCAGACGAAAATGAGAAGATCCCATGACAACATTATCTATTTATCTAGAAGCCTCAGTGTTGACAATAAATTGCATCTTCACCATACGTTTCAGTGATAGTAACATTGGTTAACATTGAGATTACATCTAAAGTTACCAGTTGTACATGTTAAGTTCATATCTACAATTATATCAAGAAAAGTGCACACATCATGTATAACTCATTCGACTGTCCCTCGACTTAGAGGACCCGGGAAACACAAATATCACTGAACAGGTAAATAATATAGTTAATTTAATGTTGACGAAACAGAAGGTAGAAGGACTATCTGCTCATAGATTTCCACTCAACCGTTAAGATTCCTTGTATGCGCCTTAGATTGAATGATTGGATCGGAAGCACATGAGTAAGGTATATTCTTCTCTTTTTGGGACTTCAGCGTTTCAACAATCTGGTGCTCCATAGCCCTATTCTAGTCGTTGTTTACTGCAAGACGCTGTTCAAAATTGGAAACGACCAGCCACTGGGGAGTCTGATCCTTCGATATAGCCAAATTTATTCAGTGTAAGAATATCAGGTCTGAGGATTATATGACTATCACCTGACTTGAATTACTGCATGGATTCCATAACTCTCGTTAGAATAATATCTACCTCCTCCTTCGTGTTAATTATTCTCTACATCAATAATTCCGATTGTGCCTCTCTCTGACCTGCATTTATCAGAAAAATCGAAGTCTCGTTTCTGAATAAAATGGCATTCCTCTCTCTCTCTATCTCTCCCTTCTCTCCTCTAACCTTCCTCATTTTTACAACTGACAATTCTGAAGACGTTAGTGACAACAGTCATTCGCACAAATTTACCCCCTTCCTAATTTATTGTTGGAACATTTAAATTACATATATTTCACTGCAAATGACTTTGTCCGGATCCCTCCTGCTCTTCACGCATACATGCAATTACCTGAAGGACATTTCTTCTTACCAGGTAGGTAAAGAAGGCAAGACAGTCTCCTTTTACAGTTTTTAACTCTTTGCAATATTTGCAAATACGATGTAAAATTTCCTGGTCTACCATTAGAAAACTTTAGTATGTGGAGATCGGCGATGAGAGCTGTCAGTAGGACGTGCGTGTTTTCGCAAAGTCAACTCGTTAATCTCGTTGTGAACAGACACCTGAACTAATACGAAGAATTGAAGAGTACCCTTGTAACAGACGGAGGGCAGCGTCTAAATAAACCCTATCCATGCAATTCTCATACTCAGAAATAGATCCAGTTGTAGAACATTTTATCCTCTAACAACATGATATTAGTTCTTAAACAGAGCTTTTTTGTCACGCCTTTGATGTGATTAGAGAAGAGTTATATGAATAACTATTTTGTTGAAATATGTCCAACAAAATATGCTGCATAGATCTCAAAGTGCAAAATCATTTCCACTCCATCTGCATAGTCATATGACTCAAGGGGAGTTTAGCATAACGAATCAATGAAAACAGTCTCTCGCTGTCTCTAGAACAATATACATCTAAGTCTCTATTAGAAAACGCACATTGCGAATTATGAAAAGAAAGATGTCCATATGGCATAAATACAAAATATGTAGACAGTAGAAACTGAGTGTACTCATGCTTTGCGTCAGGTGTAATATATTAAATAAATGAAAAAGACATCGCAAAAAAGAGTTTAGTTTCTCCAACAACGGACTGTGTAGATCTCGTTTTATCGGTACAAATTTCAGAAATCACATAGAACGTCTAGTCTCAGGAGCACTTCATAACATTTGGAAACCAAACTGTCTGATTTGGAATGATGGACTAAAACAGAATTTGACCTGGTCACAACATCCCGATCCCCCATGAAATGATAAAATCAACACGAATTTCATAAACACACGCTGCTTTTGTAATTTTTCTCAATTATCAAATACAACAATCTACAACTGGTTTTCGTTTCTTTACCAGTTGGCCAACTTGACAACGCAACAATGACCATATGCTCAGGAACGATGATTCAGTTGATATGAATGAATTGAGATTTTGAAAATTCTGGTTTAACAATATTTTGATAAAGCTATTAGCATTAAACAGCGAAACGTCGGTAAAAACAATATTGCTTGTTTTCCATTCATTGGGAAATACAAAATCCTTTATTATAATGGACATGATAATATTTTTATTACCGTCATGGCGTTTTATATGGGTTTGCGTCGTTTATTCATCTGTCTTGCTTGATTAGAGTTTGCCATACAGGTGATAAGTCTATCCATTCTCTCCTATTTACTGTATTCGATGTGGTTAAACTGTGCAAGGCTTCAGATATCAACCTTTCTTCATGTGAATGACAGCCTCTTCTTGTTATATCCGCTGTCTATCGCATGAATTGCTGTAGCTGATCTTTTCTCTACACTTCTTAATTCTACTTCATTTCTAGGTGGATGTTTCGTGCATATATCACATTATCATGTTTATCACATGTGACATGTGTTCACGTCTTTTCCACATGACGAATAACACACACTCACATACACCCAAGGAGCAAATATACACGCTAACTATTTGACATTAGTCATTACAAATAAATGGAGACTGCTTACATATTTCTATTGGTACAAATGCCTATCGACAAGTGACCTTCAAATGAGCTGACTTCATTTGATATAAACGTTTTCACCACATATCTCGATGATGAATACAATCCGAGTAATTCTGCTCAAGAAGCCGTGGCTTGTACAGCGAATCCTCCAGAAAACAGATCTTGTTTTGATTTTTTCTTCAACACGCTGGGATTATTTTAAATAATGTATAATGTAACGCTACATTTTGGTCATAAATAAAATCTCTTATTACTCTAAAATTTTATGCAAAGTGTTTGCGGAAATTATCACAATTATTAACCTTTCGAACACTGAATCCAAAAAATACAATCTTATTGACAGATAATACACATAACTCACTGTTTGGATTTGTGGAATTTTTAAACATAAACACATCTATAATTGTATATATTGTTGGATTTATATGTTCAAGTTGCTCCAAGTCAGTGAGTTTATGGTTAAGATATCATTTTAGTTAACTGTACTGAACTATATTGCATGTTGTCTTATTGTATAGTTGTCGTCGCTTTTTGCCCTTTTTTCTGTGAACTGTTTCCTTTGTTGATGTTGTTCTCATTGTTTGTCCGTTATTTTCTGATTTTGAGGGGAGCAACCCAAAAAGTTGCTTCTCTCTAAACTTTTACTTAATGTAATCATTCTTTTCTCAGGCGTGAGGCTAGCAACCCCACCCTGTAAACAAAGTTGCTACAGAACCTTCAGCAAAATGAACCTCTTTGCACCAAAAGAAAAAGTCTGTGTAGGAACATGGAACGTCCGAACTATGTACGAGACTGGGAAGCTGCCCAGATCGCCAACGAGATGAAAAGATACGGAATACAAGTGCTGGGAATATGTGAGAGCAGATGGAATGGGAGTGGACTCACCAAATTGTCAACAGGTGAGTCAGTGATCTACTCCGGTCACCCAGAAGATAACCACACGCACACCGAGGGCGTGGCTATCATGATGTCACCAACGGCAACGAAAGCCCTGATACAATGGGAGGCGATTTCGTCCAGGATAATGACCGCCAGGTTCAACTCCAAAGGAAGGAAAGTGTCAATCATACAATGTTATGCACCCACAAACAACGCAGACCTCGAAAAGAAAGAAGAATTCTACAGGCAACTACAGGCAACAATGGACAATACTCCAGCTGGCGACATGAAAATACTAATGGGAGACATGAACGCCAAACTGGGACCAGACAATACGGGAAGGGAACTCATCATGGGTAGAGAAGCTCTAGGAGAAATGAATGAAAACGGAGAACTCTTCGCCGACTTCTGCGCCTTCAACGAACTGGTGATTGGTGGCAGTGTATACAAGCACAAAGATATCCACAAGGCTACATGGGTGTCACCAGACGGGCAAACCAAAAACCAAATCGACTTCATCTCAATCTCAAGGAAGTGGAGGCGCAGCCTACTGGACACAAAAGCAAGAAGAGGAGCAGACGTTGGCTCAGACCACTATCTCGTACAAGGGACAATCCAAATCAAATTAAAAGCTTTCAGGGAATCAGGAGCTGCAGATAGACCACAAGCCAAGTTCAACACTCAAAAGCTGAAGGACCAGGCTACAAAGGACATCTTCATTGCAAGCATAAAGGACAAAGCCGAGACACAAATCAACACTAGCGAAAAGGTCGGCGTTGAAAAGCACTGGAACAACTTGAAAACGGTGTGGAGCCAAACCTGCATAGAAATTCTAGGCAGAAAAAAGAGACAGGACAAACAGTGGCTCACTACGGACACTTGGAAACTAATAGAAGAGAGAAGGACAGTGAAGCAAAAGATTATCCAGTGCACGACGAGCAACAAAAACAGGAGCTGAATGCAAGCTACAATACACTGAACAAAAGAGTGAAGAAAAGTGCCAGGGAAGACAAAAGAAAATATTATGAAACCATGGCAAACGAAGCAGAACAAGCTGCAGGCAAAGGAGACCTCGCCACACTCTACCAAACAACTAGGAACCTTTCGGGCAAACGTTCGACACAGATTAAGCCAATAAAGGACGACAATGGAAAGTCAATCACCAAAGAGGTGGAACAGAGAAAGCACTGGGTTGAACACTTCAAAAGACTTCTAAATCGTCCGCCACCTACAACACGTCCAGCAATACCAACAACGGAAGCAGAACTACCAGTGAACACTGACCCCCCGACGAAATCAGAAGTCCTGAATGCAATCAAGATGCTTAAAACTGGGAAAACACCGGGACCAGATGGAATCCCAGCAGAGGCTTTGAAAATAGACCCAGAGACAACAGCGGACTTGATGACACCACTACTGGAGAAGGTGTGGAAAGAGGGCAAAGTACCCGAGGATTGGAAGAACAGTTACTTATTCAAACTTCCAAAGAAAGGAGACTTAAGTCAATGTAAAAACTGGCGTGGAATTATGCTTCTGTCCATTCCAAGCAAGATACTAAGTCGCATCATCCTGGAGAGAATCAAACAAGCCCTAGATGAAAAACTTCGTCCGGAACAGGCTGGATTCAGGAGAAACAAATCATGTATTGATCAAATCGCCACTCTACGGATCATCATTGAACAAAGCTTGGAATGGCAGTCACCTCTCTATCTCAACTTCATCGACTTTGAAAAGGCCTTCGACAGCGTCGATCGAGAGGTCATTTGGAAACTACTTCGCTACTACGGGGTCCCATCGACAATTATACACCTCATCCAACAGTTATACGACAATGCTGCATGCCAAGTAATCCACAACGGGAAACTTACGGAAGCCTTCGAAGTGAGGACGGGAGTGAGGCAAGGCTGTCTACTATCACCAATGATCTTCCTGATTGCAATTGATTGGATAATGCGACAGACAACGGCAACCAACGAGGGAACAGGCATAAAATGGACTGACACAAAAGACTTGGAGGATCTGGATTTCGCCGATGATATATGTCTGATTTCCCATAAACTGGAAGATATGCAAATGAAAAGTAACAAGTTGGCAGAAGAAGCATCAAAGATAGGACTTCACGTGAACATAGATAAAACAGAGATGATGAAGATTCCTTGCCAACATCAACAGCAACAACAGACCACAATAAGCATAAATGGGAAGAACCTGAAAGAAACAACCTCCTTCACCTACCTGGGAAGCATCGTCTCAACTACAGGCGGAACTGACGAGGACATCAAAGCCAGAATCGGAAAAGCAAGACAAGCTTTCATTACTCTCAAATCTGTGTGGAGGTCAACAGCATTCAGCATCAAAAATAAGATCCGGATTTTCAACTCCAATGTGAAGTCAGTGCTACTATACGGATCAGAGACTTGGCGAGTCATAAAGAGCATCTCAAACAAACTTCAAACCTTCATTAACAACTGTCTCCGCTCAATACTCAAGATCAGATGGCCAGAAAAGATCAGCAACAGGGATCTCTGGGAGCGAACCAATCAGGAACCGATTGTGAAACAAATAGGCAGAAAGAAATGGAGATGGATTGGCCATACGCTGAGGAAACCATCAAGTGACATCACTAGACAAGCCCTCGAGTGGAACCCGAAAGGGAGGCGGCGAGTTGGTCGTCCAAGGGTGACTTGGAGGAGGTCATGTGAAGAGGAGATGAAAGCATGTGGACAGACCTGGAGCAGGGTGAAAAAGTTGTCAAAAAACCGAAGTCAATGGAGGTGCGCAGCTGAAGCCCTATGTTCCTCTAGGAACTAAAGGATACAATAATAATAATAATGATTCTACTTTTACAATTTCTTAGCTCTTGTATATCACCTATTGTACTTTATTGATCATCTTAGTCTCTCTTGGCCTACTGTAGATCGACTACATCATGTTGTGAAGGGAATTATGGTTTATCAGTAGCTTTGTGGTGTACAATCTAGTCAGGTTGTTACTACATTATTTGGTAGGCATGTGAACTCATGCGAGAAATTCTCTAAATCCAGATTGTCCAACATTCAACACCCTGTCTACTCTCAACTCTCCCCCATTGTATCTCATCTAGTAGAACTAGGTGCGGTACAAAATATTATTTGATTGCAGTATTCAGCAAAGGAACTCGACAATACCATATTTGGCTAGTGTTCTGTGTCACAGAGACCATGTCATGCGCGAAACCTAGGAGTGAATATGTTGTTAGCGAAATAATTGGCTCTCTGATTATCTCCAATTTGTAATCTATGGTGACACTATCTCAAATAAGTGAGAATCTCAGCTACTGACATTAACATAACTATTTACAAGTTTTCTTGAATATATGTGCGGCCCCACTGTCACTACAAATACCAAATAAGAACTGACTCTGACAGTCAAACAATATTATTTCCATAATCGTTTCCAATGTAATTGGATAACGTTAGATGCAATATTGTACGAAATGCTGAAAAACCCACACTCTATCATTTGTACTGTTTGAGAGTAAGCAAAATTTTTGTTATTATTAATAGATATATAATAATAGATATATAATAGATAAATTAATAGATAAGCGCAACATGCAATTAATCAAAGACATGTCCCATGGTTTCTAGAACGATGAGTGAAATGGTTTGATTTGAGGCGAAACTGATTCATCACCACAATCAGAATGATCGCCATCACAGCTGTACCAGACTACCCATCCACCAGTTTCTTCAAGTGAATTACAAAAGCAATGTGGCGTGCATTTCTCGTTTTAATTCAATCCTATCATTGATATTCTGAGTGAAATCAGTGAGTAGAAACACTGGAAGCGTAGATATTTTTAGAAAGTATCCGACCTCCTCATTAGTGATCATAATCAAAGATCACCAGCCAACATATGAAAATAACGCATGAAACGTGTCTTATATCGTACGATAAAGCCATTTACACAGGGCGGAATTATTTGTGTGATTTCATGTGAAATTCATGCATCGTTTGTTCTATGAAAATGTGTCAGTGTTACTAATTATTCTATTTCAGAAGTAATTTCACAAAATGAGAGATTTTTAGCCAGTGTATTGTGTAGAATGCTAAAGAGCAGTTGAAAGGGCGGGTGAACCAGTTGGATGAATGTCTTTCACCCTCCCGCTGATTCAGTCCACATACTACACATGAGGCGACTGACTTAAATCACAATTCAACTGAATCGTTTGCGTCTCACATTTGGTCTTCCGAAGTGCACTTCACCACTGTCCATTGTGTGTATTCTGCTTCAGATTTATAAGATCAGTGTGATGATCAGTTCAGTCAGATTGTTCACCACAACAACGATTCAAGCATTCCAGTTGACGGGGCATAATCTGAAGGCCATTCTATTCTAGGAAACATGTGTCCTTCGGATTCACCTGGTTTCTCTCATGAAATATGGCTCACATCCAAATCACCTGCTCCCTCACTGACTAGCACAGTTGACTTAAGCTTGTTGTCCTTCGGTTGTTCGTGACTGATTACTCCTCCACGTCCTCAACTCCTTATGAAATCCTTCGTACTGGATACTGAGTTGGTATCCTTTGCAGTATTCCTCATTTATTTTCACACTAACTTGATACAGTCATCTTCAGAGTCTGCACAAAAGTATTTGGAGTTAGTAGGGTGTTAACAGGGTTGCCAATTGAGCAAGGACATAGGTCAGTCTTACCTTGATACCGTTATTCAGAAGTCGTTTCTTTGTATATACATGACAGGAAGTTCCTAATGAGTTCCCACACGGCGAATTGAATGTTTGAGATGTGATATGGGGTAAACAGTTATCATTGAGTAGCAAGTTTGTCATCTGTGCACTTTCCAAGTGTGAAGGATGTGAGATCAAATACAGCAAAGTCAATGGTGTAGAGTAATAATTATTTAGAAAATCCTTCGTGAACTGTCTGGTTTCGATGACGATAAAATAGAATGGGATATTTTGGTACATGCTGTGAATTGCATGTTGTTTGGAATAACTCGGTTTCATTATTATTGTTATTATTACGACCATTTATATTTTTATCAGTTAGAAGGGACTCTAGGCATAAGTATGCAATGGAGATGTGCTCTTGGATGGTGATGTTCCGCCTGGGACACTAATCAGTAATAATAACTACAATTCTTTTATTTCTGAAATTATTATTGTTACTGAGATTGCTAGGCCACGTGTTGGCCATACACTTGTGTTTCAACGGAAACCATTGCTGTAACTGAGTAGTGATTATAGAAGATTGTGGAGACGACGCATAATTGTTTACAGAATGAAGAAATATATATTTGTGTTATTTCACGTACACTAATTAAAGATATAGAATTCTTGGAACAATTGTGCTAGTGGAATAGTCATTATTATTATTATTTTATGAACACTCTACAAACGAGAAGGTTACTGATAACCACCATTGTTTACAGAATGAAGAAATATTTGTGTCATTTGAGGTCAACATCACGAGATGTGTTTCTAATGAGTATGTATCACTCTTTCAATAATTTTACCTTGGAAATAATTTAAGTATCACATTAGTGAAAGTATTAACTTTATTCCAAACAGTAATTTTGGCACAAGCATCCAATTTTCAGTATGATCAGCTCAGAGAGACAGAAGAAACGATAGGACTTCAGATAGTGTGTAGAATTGGAAAGATCATTGGAAATTGGAGTTGGATTGATTGGCCTACTGTCATTTCCTCTCATACCGATCCACATCACTTGTTGTTGCACATGAGACAACTTAATTCAATCGAAATTGAAGCGCAAGGATTGTCACTTATTTGAGATAGTGTCACCATAGATTACAAATTGGAGATAATCAGAGAGCCAATTATTTCGCTAACAACATATTAACTCCTAGGTTTCGCGCATGACATGGTCTCTGTGACACAGAACACTGACCAAATATGGTATTGTCGAGTTCCTTTGCTGAATACTGCAATCAAATAATATTTTGTACCGCACCTAGTTCTACTAGATGAGATACAATGGGGAGAGTTGAGAGTAGACAGGGTGTTGAATGTTGGACAATCTGGATTTAGGGCATTTCTGTTTGTTAGTGGGTAACATAAATTGTCATCATATCTCTTGATGACAACAATATGAACGTCTTCAGCACTAAGGCGCTGGGATGGTTTATGAGAAGGAAATTTGAGGAGAAGAGGACAAGATAGCTCTTCAGTAACCTCAGGATTTTCACTGTTTCTAAAACCAATATCACTTCATGATGAAATCCTGTAAAAAGCGAATTCCCACCAACCAACACTTGAGTAACATGAAATCCTTAGAAAAAGTCATTTAGTTCTCTGATACATGGCAAACCTGCAAAATTTAGAACTGATGGGTCATGGGATTGTGTCTCAGTAGCCAAATGGTTAATTCGATCTCCGCATCACATAAAGGTCCTGGATACGGATCAGGAGCGTTGATGCGTGCTATCAGTGATTATGAACATGGAACGCTTGTTTATTGGCACTGGTCGCCATCGGCGAGCAACTTGAGGGCGCGAGTGATTTGGTCATCTACAGGTCAGAAGAAGACGAAAGAATACGGGCAAACATTTAGTACAAAATATTGATTTTTAACAATGGAAGAATGAAATTTCCTGCCAATCACTGTATGTTGGGATCAAAATAGATTTCTGTGCCTTGCGATTTATCATTTCTGAGCGTCTTCAGAAATAATAACATCTTAGGATTAATTATCTAACAGAAAAATAAGATTGTTCTAACACACGTTTCTCGCACATGGAAGTGATCAAATAAACTTATACTAATCATACGGTTGTGTGCGAAATTCAAGTGTAATATTGAATAAAAGAAGAAGAACATGTTGAGAAGGATAAAATGACGACATTAATCATCGTAAATTCTTGTCCCTTGCATACATTGTTAAATGAATCAGTGTCAAAATACAAAATATTCGAACACTTCAGTTATTAGTCAAAAAGGTTAGCGGTATTAATATTACTTGAATAAACTGTATATACCAGAATACTATGAAATACGGGCCTGTATCATTGCACAACGTGATAAACCGTGTGTCGTGTATTCATAATTCGTGGTGAATATTGGCTTCACTGTATATATTCTTCTTCTTTTCAATTATCCAAACATGTTTTTGAACCGTTTAGGTAATACAGTTATTAGTCTTCGGTATCCGCTTTAAACACATTTAAATTTAAATATTTCGTTTTGGATTTCAACTCGTCGACATGTTGTTTCTCCTACCTTCTGAAGTATTCAAAACCTTTGGTTAGTGCTCAGTTTCGTCATTGGTTCTATGCTTGCCGCATGCTTTTGATAAAACACACTTTGAAAAACATAACTAAGTAAGAATTTAAATTCCATCACACTGTAAGTTTCCTGTACTCCACTCATTATCCGGAGCTGCAGTTTTGCAGTGTGACAATAATAAACAAAAATTCAGCTTTCCTTTGTAAGAGGATTTGTTTGAAGTGCGTCGGTAGACAGTGGCATAATGCTCGCCGACCACGCATGTGGTTCAGGGTTCGATTCCCGCCGACACACTCATTTACTGTGCTACGCTAGTAATCAGCCTCCAGCTTGAAGACCTTTGTTCCACTGGGAACGTAAAGGAGTAACAAAAGACTTGTTGCACTCTACAGAATACATCTGGATAGCGTATGATACCAAATCAGATCATGGAGTAACAGAAATGACAGCTGCAGCGAAGGAAATTTTCTTTTCAACGAAATTATCAATTGGTCTGCACATTCGTCAAATTAGTTGCGATCCCACTAGATTTTAATTTTGTTATATCTACATTGCTAATCCACAGTAATCTTGCTAATCTTCACAGTAATTACGATGCTACTTTGTTTGAGCTTTATCGTCTTCCTGTTTATTATGGCATTTTAATTTCTAATTGTAACTTTGTTAATTTGACTCTTGACGGGAAATCATTCTGGAAATTTCCCACATATTTACTGTAATTACGCTAATGTACAGCTTAGCCGATGACTTCGTCGAAAAGAAACTTTTCTTCGCTGCAACTGTCTCTATTATTCGCTACGAACAAAAACAGATATAAATGATATACAAAACAGCATACGGCCTAATTTATTAAGTTCTAATTTTGTGAAGATTTCAAATTGACCTTTCTTGGACTCTTATTGTATTTAGTAAATTTTCAAATGTACGTCTCGATAGAATTTCTGAGTGTTTCAATTGTAATTGTATGACTTCTTACTATAGCTGATTTGTATTCCGCCTATTATGGGTGATATTAATGTATGAAGCAGTCTGCATATAGCATGCGTCTCTTTTATAGTAATAGTTTTAAGGTGAACAAGCAGGTAGGCTTCGAAAGCACGGCTTTTATGAAATTTGCTATCTCTGTTGTAAAAAATTGTATTTCTAATGTATACTTTATTCAGAAAATAATTCTTTACTTCAGCGGTCATGAAATACTACCTCAAAGAGTAACTGAATGTTTTTAACGCTATCTTACACATTCTAGTATATTCAGCGAAATTTGCATGATACAAAACTGATGATTTCATCAGTTTGTGTCCTGATGCTGAGGATGTGGTTCATTTTGTTAAATGCCTTGAACTCAGCAATAGCCTTTTAAGAACTAAGTCTTATAATGAGCTAACAGAAGTTGGAGGGCTGGACAGTTGCATCGTCCCAGTTTGTGACTGTTCGGGAGTACACGCCTACTGGAGATCAGACTCACTGCCTTCTAGTCAAAAAGCAAGCTCGTAGGCCCAGTCGTTTATGAATTCTGACTTCCACTAATGTGTGATTTCGGGGCGAAGACCAGTCATTATCATCGGCAGTTATTTGACCTCATACTGTGCATAGTAGACCCACTGGTCATGACTTGTATTTTGAGCCTCAGGCAACTTCGTCCTATAGAGATTCACTAGATAGCATCAAATAACACTGGGCGACCGTTGCGCTAGTGTAACGAATTTTTATAGTTGGAATTAATTAAAACTCTTCGAAGTGATTTAAAAATGTGTTGGTGTCCTTGAAACAATTAGGCTTTTATCGTTCTTATAAATTTATTTGACCGATAAATGTGTTATCAAACTGCTCGAAATATACTGCTTGAATACATCACATTTTTTATACAATCTGCATATTCTAGTAAGACTTTCCGAACAATAGCGTAACCAATCCGGTAAAATTTGCTTTACTATTTTTGTCTACTGTATAATAAATTAGTAGTCTCGTAATAACAGTAAGTAATATGTGGTATTCATTGCGGACATATAATTACTGCGTGTTTCGTAATGAAATTAATTTAACCATTCACATCTCTGGAGCAAACTCGAAAATATGACAAGTTACTTGTTGAAATTAGTATATGATTACCAAATCAGTTGATGCTGTTGTGTGGAAATGCTCCGTGTCTGTTGAAATGTTTTACGAAGCGTGGCTCATGTGGTCCAGTAGCCTAGTGCAATCTGCTTCGGCGTTTAAGTTGATTAGCGCTGCTTTTTAACCTTACTAGGAAGGCCACTAATCACACAGAAAGCATGTTCTCCATCTGATAGTCTTGAAATAGGTCAAAACGTGGGTAGCCGAATACACTGCTAGCTTGTTTTCAGTGACATGGAATAATCTGTGAAAGTGCTATGTAGTTTTCAACGGGATTAGTGAATAAAGCATGAAACTAAAATAATCAAAAAGCTGTTAACACTGGTAGGGCAATGATAATGAATTATTTTTCCTTCTATTTTCGCTAACATGATGTTCATTTTTGCGA